TCATGGCTTCACATCTAGATTTCTAGGATTCTATGTTTATGTATCTAACACAACGAACATTAGAGATGGACATTTATGTTTCCACGACATGAACTATACCAAGGCCACAATACCAGCGGTGGCAAACATAACATGCCCTGTACATGGACAATATGTCATATATTTCAACAAAAGACCCCAGAATTCACCAAATGCTGGCCAGTTTTATGAATATGCACATACTGAATTGTGTGAGGTTGAGATTTACGGTATGTTTTCTTTCTTTTTTAAGCATTGTGTGTGAAAGAAAGATATTTACATGTGATTAAGTCAAAGGAAATGAAATGTTTTTAAAGGGATAAAATTGAGAAATACGTTTTGTTCATCCAACGAAAATACTTTTGCTCAACACACCTAAGGCCCTTATAGAATTAAAAAGCTTTTGTGACTGATTTTTCTTTGTTAGCGTCGCTCCATAACTGTTAAAATTTCTGACACCAGGGGGGGGGGGGCAAAATGGGAACTTTTTTTCTAAATTCAAATTATATGATATCTTGAAGAACTCTACCAAAGAGTTATTTTTTTCTTAACTTCAGAATTCACCCTTCAGACACAAGAAGCTATTTATATACCAGCTTCATTATTTTCTTTTTTTTTTTTCATTTTCTGTTATGTTGGTTCAAGGGATCAACAATTAATATATTATATCTTCGGTAAATATATTTCCTCATGTATATACGGTTCATAGTTATAATCTCATATACGAAAACATTGTCGTATATATCATCTCTTTATTCGTTCACATCATTACACCCGGCTAAGGAGGTTACCAAAAATGATGGAATATGTTTGATATAAAATAATTATGGCCTCAATAGGTAAAATCAAAATATGTACATCCGTACAAATATTTGTTTATTATCATGTGAGACAGACCTTTGCTTGATTCACTGTACAACATCTTGAATTTCTAAGGTTGTAGTAAAACGGAATATTATGGACCTGAATGTACCCTCCCCTGTCCTGACACGAACTGTCGTTATTGTCACATAGAGACAGGTGCTTGTCAAGGGTGTAAACCTGGATTTAAGGGGCATCATTGTGAATTATGTAAGTGCAAAAGGAATATAATTCAAAACAATATTCTCAAACGCTTTTCTTAGCTAGAGGATATTGATTTAAGTAGTACTCTATCTGAAAACAAAAGATTCCCACTTTCACTTATCGGGTCGATAAATGGATGAAAGTAACTCTTGTTATTTAATGAAATGTCGTTGATTTATCAGAATGTTGAGGTGGTCACAACAATTTTTTATCATTCTTACCTAAATAGCATGTGACGGTGGAAGGTATGGACAGGATTGTGGACTAAGATGTGGAGCCTGTCTGGGATATAAACAATGTCATCACTTCAATGGGTCTTGTCCTAAAGGCTGTGATGCTGGATATGGAGGAGAACTTTGTCAAACTGGTATTTCCTTTTTTTATTGAATTATACAGGCCAGTAGGACGCAGTGCAGTTAAGGTGCCAAATGGAAATATCGGCGAATTTTTTAGATTGAAAATACATTCTTTACAAGGATGGGCGTTTCTTTTTAGGACTTTACTATTATCAGACAAATGCAATGTCGTTGAAAACTACATGTTGAAGACGATTAGATTTCTTATTTAGACTTGTCACGTGATGTGGCAGTCACGTGATTTTAGCAAATATACCTGAAGTATTGAGGTCATCTATAAATTCTAATATTGCAAGGGCATAACCAATTTAAACATCTTAGTTTAACATATAATTATTTTCAACACTCTTTGTAGTTTGTGAATAGTGCTGCGAACCTCTAAAGATTCTACTATCTAATTGCTAAAATTGCATTTGTTAGACCGTATGTTGAATATTTTGCTGGTCAAGTACATTAAATATAGATATAATTAATTCATTTGCAAGATTTCAACAGGTTCGCAGCACTTTTCAAATATCTTCATACCTCTTGAGTTTATGTGTAAAAGCTTGTCATAACTCATTGAGTGTATGCCCTTGCAATATATCGATTTATTACCACCCTTCTATTACCCTTCAATGAATCTGCATACAAATATACGACAGTATCGCTTGTCTAGGGAATGTACGGGAAGTATATGAATAAAATCATAAAATAGACATCGCATCCAAGTTAATGGCCTCTTACATATCTACAATTTATATTTTATTTAATTACAAACTGCATTTTTCATTGTATAAATATAACTTGATCCGCCTCTCACTGCATACAAACTGCGTCAAATTTTACGATATGATGTCACATTGACAAGTGCATTGAGATCAGTGAATTGTTTATATATTGCTGTGTGGGATTTAACCAACGACAATAATGCATGCATTAGTTAGTATTGATGTAGATTAAAGCTATTCAACAGTTTAAAATAGCAAATCATTTCATTTTGTGGTAATTTGAAGAACTTATATTTTTGTGCGATGTCATAGTAAGCATTTCCCGTATTAATTAGGGCCCGCCTCCTTACTGCAGCCTTAACTGTGCTGCGGAAGCAATTTCAGATGGGGAGGAGGGACAGATTATTTTCAGTCACACACACATTTTCAGTTGGACGGACACTATCAACTACTAAAAAATTACTTTGCAAGCAATAGTTTATATTATACTTTCATGTAAATTAGATGAATCTGATTCGTCGAGAAACATTTGTTCAAAAAACACTATTACCCGCTGAAGCCACGCCCTTCAGCATAGTAACAGTCAACACTGCTTGACGACGGGTGATATTCAAAAAAAAAAAAAAATAGTGACTACGCAGAATTTATACGCACACGGTTCACTGTTTTATGTATTTAATTAAAACATTCAGTATAATATAATGAATATTGCATGTAGTAGAGTGTAACATTGAAAATTTTCACCCCTCGAAAACCATTGGGTTAAAGGCCATGTGGTAAACAATGAATCTTAAAAATATCTTTAGAAACAAAGGGGTATATTTATGTAAATCTTGTTCCGAGTGACTTAAGTTCGTAAATGTCAATATATTTTTTGTTTCAATTCAGCTTGTCCAAGTGGAAAATTTGGTTTGAATTGTAAAGAAAACTGCAATGCAAAATGTTCTGTTCCAAATCAATGCAATGGAACGACTGGAGAATGTAAGGGCGGATGTCAGCCTGGTTGGGAAGGACTTCATTGCAATATAAGTAATCCTGTATTTGAAATTTTCTCAAGAGTTAGCATTCATTACACATACAGCAGGGCACTTTAAAATAACCTAAAGAATTTTTGACATATTCTTGGCACATTGTAATTCTACTGCAGGAATACAGCATTAATAATCAGAAATATATAATATCCTCATACACTCTTTGAATGCCTTCTTAAATTCTGTTTAGAATGTAGGAACAATATGTTTGGTGTAAATTGTAATCAGTCCTGTGGTTTCTGTCGAAATACTGAAAAATGTCATCACACTAATGGAACATGCCAGAGTGGATGCCAACAGGGATACTTCGGCGATCACTGTACTGCTGGTGCATACTATTTCATAATAAATGCAAACGTAAAATAGCTAATATTAACCATGTTGCAAAGAATTCTATACTTTTTTTTCTTTAGATACATATCGTATTCCAGTGACATGTGATCGATTTTCATTTTTTCAAGTATATATTTTAGATCATTTGTGTATAATTATTCTTCTAGAATGTACCCCAGGAACTTTTGGCTATGACTGTATGGAAAACTGCAGCACAGGATGTTTTAATAATACCTGTAACCCTGTTAATGGCTATTGTTCTAGCATCAAAGTAATCCATACGAATCTGTTTCAATTATACTGAAATTCCTCAGATAGAATCTGAGGCCTTAAACACTAAAGAATATAATCCTATTGAAAACATTTCCAAAGATAACCATTATTCATTTCCTGCTAAATTTTGTAAAATTGACTAATAAAATTTTAACATTCACCAAGATAAACGAGGTGAAACATACTCGTAATATATTTTGTGGACAAAGACTCGTTCATGTCAAAAGTATATTTTTACAGGAAACTTCACCGCTGATAAGTAAAAGTGTCAATTTTAGTATAATCATCGGCGGGATTTCGGGATTAGTAATTGGTTGTCTTCTGATTGTTATTGTGGTTTTGGCTTTAAGAAGGTTAGTTCGCTTTTGATATAGTCTTTGGTTCCAATTAAAGTATAAGTGGGGGTGGTATTGTTCTTTCTGTTTTGACATTTCTCCTTACATACAAGGCACTGTTTGCGAAAGAAAACTACAGAAAGGAAAGAAACAGAGAGAAGGAGAAAATGTGAGTGACATTATTTTAACTGAGGTTCTTTAACTGTTCTGATACAATGTATTGATAGTGTAAGGATATGATCATGTGTTTACTTCATTTTTCAGCAAACAAAGGTGTGGCTCAAACAAATTTTACTAGCACTGATTCAATTCCATCTTCATCTGGCCATGGTAATAAAATCATAAAAACAGAAAATAAAAAATCTAAGAAATGTCAGAAGAATGATGATGAGGCTGATGTAGATGACGATGAAAAAATGCACTCGGAGAATCCTTACGGAGACTTTTACGCTAATGAAACGACAATACGGGACATACCTCTAAATCAACTGGAGTCGGTAATAGTTGAGAAAAGAATGAATGAAGACGATGGATTTCAGAGAGAATATGCGGTTAGTGAGAAACATGTTTTTCATATGATAAAAAAATGTATAAGTAATAAGGCAAGAAACATCAAATAACAAATAATAAATGAATAAGTTAATAAATAAGTAAATAAAAAAAACCCCAAAACTGTAGGATTTTTAATCATATGGTAAACAAACAAAAAAAATTAACATAACCCCCCCCCCCCCTTTAAAAAATATATTAGACTTTTTTTTTATTTTTCTAAATATTTCAATCCTTGAAACCCAGTCATAACAGAACACAATGAAATTGCAATTTTTATATTTGTATAAGCATTAAGTGTATCAAAAATTCCGTTTTTGTTCGTTGCAGTCATTGCCATACGGGGAACAATACAAATGTGACGAAGGAAAAAGAGAGGAAAATACGGTTAAAAATAGATATAAGACCATATTTCCGTGTATGTAAAAATTACAGAAATAAAATTTGAAATCTAGCGATAAGTTATTTATGATTTTACAAAAGGATGATAAAGACTTAGTAATCAAATGCCTTAACACAACGTTTTTGAGGTACAGTTGAAGTATCTGGTACTCCGATATTAGGAATGTTATTGTTATATCTAAATGATGAGAATGCCAGATATACTATTTTCTAATTGTATTTTAACCTCAATATCTCGAACTTGTGAAATCAAGAAATTGTTATAGATCCCTTTTAGTTTGAGATACGAGGTTATTCTCTATTCCTGTTCTTGTTTTCGTCGTACAATTGTTCTTACTTTTTTAATCATGAAAAGATTACTGAGTTTGATTCTGTAACACTCTCCTTCAATTTAGATGACCATTCAAGAGTAATACTGAGGATTAAGTTAGCATTTGGCTACATTAATGCTAACTACATCGAGGTAAAAAAAAAAGCTATCATGTAAAAAAAAAGACTATTTTGTTTATAATGATATGGTTTCAAAAAAAGAATGATGCCATACATTCTGATTTGCTTATAGCAAATAAAATTATAGTTTTCAGTTCAACATCCTCACATTTTCCCTTCTTCTTTATTCTTTCCATCTTATCTATGTGTTAAGAAATGGGGAAGTGAAACATGCATTCTTTCATTACAGGGAGCACACAGACAAAACGAGTATATTGCAGCACAAGGTACTGTATTTGTCTATATACTTCAAATTTATGTGCATAACTTATTTATGACTATGATTTGTTTGTTTCAAATTAGTTAAGGCAATAATAAAATACCAAAAGATATAATGAATAAAGGTGAGGATAACGAACAGTAATTGATCTTAAAAAATCCATAAACAATACAAAAATGTGAGGAAGGCATATCACGCGGACCCCTGAAAATTCCAGAAGTGGGATCCTGTGCCTAGAAGGTTTAAGCGTTTCTGTAGACCAGTCACACCCGCCATGAGCCCTATGTATAGATCAGGTTAACAGAACATTCCGTAGATTCAGTTTATAAAGAAAAGTCTAACTATTGGTATGAATCTCATCAGCCAATATACGACCCATTGATAGGCGATATTTGCTAACAATGTCATTATTACGAACATAGAACTTAAGAAATGCTGATTATAAGCGAGGTTGTTGAAAACCTTGTAACATCAACTTATATGTCAGTAGCCTGTGTCCTTTTTTTTTTTTTTTTTTTTTTTTTTTTTTAGTAAAAAGTGATCGTCCCCGGAACATCAAGTGAGTTTGGAGATGTAAACACGATATGCAGATGATAGCAAGATATTATTACAGAAATAAAGAAAATTAACAATGGGAACCGTGAAGTCTTCTTGTTTGTCAGACAATTTAGTTGTTAGTTAGCCTTTATCGTCAATTGTTAATAAAACTTCCAAATTTGAAACACTTGTGACCGACTTTGCTTTGTAATTTGATTTGAAAGTCACTGGTACCTGTTGTTTATAGATAATGCGTCGTCGGTGAATCTAAATGTCGAGTTGAAAACCACAGGAAGTGTTTTTTTTTTCTTCTCATTTAGAAGTTTTTGAATAGATTCTGCTCCATATGAGTATAAAAACAGGTCGGCTGATTAAGGAGCATAATTAGTGCCCATTGGTATTCCAACATTTTGTTGGAATACTTTGTCTCTAAAGACTACATAAATGTCAATGGCGAACTCCCGTATCTCTTTAAAATCAAGTTCATAGAGTACTTTTGTTTAGAATCAGAGTAATTTTTGACAAAATAACTCTGTAAATGACTTTCACAAAACACAAAAAAAATATTGTAAAAGCTATTATCTATGATATAAAAAAGCCTACTTTTTTAATTCATCGTGAGGAATGTTAGTACTGTGGAATCATCATTGTTCGTGGGGGATCAATGTCCGTGGATTTCGTGGGTCACCCTTGCCCACGAATTTACATCCCCCACGAACATTTTTTTGTCAACGTACTGATTAATTAAATCTACCAAATAAACGAGCTGCCCTCGAAATGACATCCCCTCGAACCAATAAAATTTTGCTTGCCCACGAACATTGACCCCCACGAATTTAAATGATTCCACAGTATAAAGTATTGGGAAGTCATACGTTTTGATGTTACTGACTTTTAAAAGATTTGGCGATTTTAAATTTTCTAAATGTCTTTTGGAGTTTTAGAGAATCCACATCTGATTTACACCGCCTCTAGAATATGCTGTTTCACGGTACATCAGAAGTTTCTCTTTTACAGAAGTTTTATATTTTTGTAAGACATAAAAATAGGGGCCTGGTAGAGGGATGTCAAAGAAGTGCAGTTGGTTATCTTAATTTTTTTTTTAAAATGTGCTAATTGTAAACACCGTAAAAGACAGAGACAGGCGACAGCAGATAAAGATAAAAGAATGACCAAAATATTTCCAGTTTATTTATTTTAAAATAACATGAGAGTTTTAAAGATGACGTGCATAATCATGGCAACAATTAGAAGAAAATCACTTTGTTGAAGATATGATTTATTCATGATGTAATTCTTATTTTTCCTTTAAGCTTAACCTCGGACTAAGCACTGAATATTGTTCTTTTTCTGATATCGTTCGTAAAAAAGGTCACTTACTCTGATAGTATGATGTAATGCATAAGAAAATTATCAAACACTCCTGGCATTGTCGTTATTATTAATAAAATAAATTGTATGATTCTTTTGTTCACTGACCTTGTATATTGGATTCTCCTTTACTCACATTGCAATCAATATTTCGATGTTCATGACTTTCTCATTCTATAGGTATCATTGTTTCATTCCCTATGTAGGACCGAAGAAGAATACACTTGTTGATTTTTGGACGATGATTTGGCAAGAAAATGTGTCTTCCATCGTGATGCTTACAAATCTGCAAGAGGGAACAAAAGTACATATATTTTTATTAAATTGAATGAATTCACGGAGAACTCTAGTCGTGATTAAATTATGACCAACATTTTTTGAGCGTTCTAACTTATATCTCTAAGTATGCTTAAATTTATTGGTCTTTGACGATTAACATTTTAATGCTACCATAGCGTTTGTGCATGCTTATTCTCAAGTGTTTTCCAAGTGTTTGCATTTATTTAAAGATAAAATGCAGTCAATATTGGCCGGATGTTAATAACAAGAATAACTACGGAGCTTTGTCTGTGAAAATGATGGAGGAAAAAAAGTATGCATTTTACATTTCTCGAAGAATGATAGTTAGCCACAATGAGGTAAGTTTTGAATAAGAAGTATTACAACAGATATTTTGCACAAGTTATTTTTCACACAATGGTAGATTCTAAAGCAAAACATTGATGTTGTAATACAAAATGTGGTAAAATGAATTGTTTGGAATTTCAACATTCTGGGTACATATAACCCTCTTACTTAGCATTATTAATCTTTTTATCTAAACGTAAATGGCGTTCTTGAGTCTTTTGTCTGTAACTCAGCTGTCCTGTGTAATTGAAGCAGAGGTTATTATTCCGTTTTACCATACACGGTATCTGTTTGAGAAATGACCAAAAAGGCCTTTTTCAGAAACTTGTTTTGCCCAAAAAACAATCGAGGGAGTTTTCTTCTTCTTTAATCCGGCCTTTGTTTGGATTACTTTAATTAAGCAAGATATTTTCCGTCTTTTGGTGAATATTAAGAACACATTTTGATCATTATTATCGTCATTTACAAATAATGAATGCCTTTTAGAATACGAAACGCTCAAAGTAATCCTCAAGGAATCCATATGCATGCTTAGATCCCCCATTTCTTTTTATTCATTCCTCTACTTTTCTTATTATACAGCATTTAAGGTATCAAAGAATCTCAAACAAAAAGTCCATGGTATTAATGTCTCTTGAGAAAACAAAATACATTTATAACAACCATCAGAGAGTTACTCAAATTGTTTTCAACCCTATCAATTGGCATTCCAATGTGCAACGCAAGATCAAATCATTTTTAATTGTAGACCAAGAAATCACGATCTGTGATCCAATATCATTATACTGCATGGCCCGACTATGGAATCCCGGATCCCCTCTGTCTTGTCGTTTTCCTTGATCACGTGAACCGTACAGGAACCAATCAGAATAGCTCCCCAACAGTTGTGCACTGCAGGTAAATTTGAGAAATAAAAATCAAATATATAAATACTGATAAATGCAATAAAAGCAGGAAAAAAAAATGAAATGAAGCGAAAAAATGCATCATCATCTCCCCCCCCCCCCACCCCCACCCCAACAAAAAAGAGAGATTTTTTTATATTGATAAAAAATAATATATACCATGCATTTCTTTGTACATGTATAATGTTTTGGATATAGTCTCAATCTTTGCAAAACTTATGTTTGCTAATAATCTTGATGCCGATATATTTATCTATTTATTTATCATCATCACATTAGTGCGGGAATAGGAAGAACGGGGACGTACATCGCACTAGACGTCCTGAACCAGATAGGAAAAAAGACAGAGAAAGTCAACGTAGCAGAATATGTCAAGAAGATGAGGGAAAGCAGAATGAATATGGTGCAAACATATGTAAGTTCGCGTTCCCTACTTAGATGCTGAAAGGGTGTCACCTTTATGTAAATTCATTCATTCATTCATTCAGTAATAGATTATTGATTTTTGGATGTGTTTATTTATTAATTCATTGATTTCTGATTTTACACATTTAAGAAGAAATACAAAATATTTGATATTTATATAAAAAAAAAAAAATCTTTTGATATTAATGAAATGAATGGTTTTATGCTCTTTTGCTTAAAAGTGATTCTAAAAGGACTTGCCAAGTCGTACAATTTTATTTCCCCCCAAAAAAAATACTAATGAAAAAATGGAGAGGTCAATTATTTATTATTTTCTTTCAATAGTGTTATTAACAACGCAAAAAAAATGTTCATTTGATAGTTACCCGATGTATTTTTTTTGTTTTGTTCAGGAACAGTACATGACGATTTATCTTGCTTTGAATGAAATATTCAAATCCCGGGTTAACACAATTACGCTTGAAGACTTTACTAAAAAGATGGCTGCCATTACAACTGACATACCAGCCAATCAGAATATATTACGAAAAGAATTTCAGGTATATATAAATAGAGAAAAAGAATGTTGTAAGGTGATTATTATTTAGATCTGACAAGCAAAAAATTATTAGCGAAAAATAACATTGATAAAACGAAAATAAAAGTCAACTATACGGTGTCAGTTTCTGTAAGTTGTAACAGCATTAGAACATTCATCACGTATAGTAATATAATTGATTAAGTGCGTGTTTGATTGAGAAAAAGAAGGTAAAATTTAAAGTGTTATGCCCCGTTACTGTAATCTAAATAAACAATAGGGGGTTGATAAAAAGATTGATATACGTATTTTTGAAGGGTTTCCTTGTCTCTTGTTATTCATAAGCCTTTCATTTGTTTGAATTGGCAGATTTTGATGAAGATACGACCCGTATACAATGATGCTGATTTTAAGATAGCCAAGGGAAATTGTAGGAATGGAAGTGTTACAGGCTTATTTCCTCGTTAGTATTAAGTTTTCTATATCTATTATGAATATTTATATTTCAAATTAAGACAAAATATATTTTTTTCCATTCTCTTTGTAGATATTATATGTGAAACTAAGTTCAAATTTAACATAAGATTCAACACGTTTAAATGCAAATTAGAACCCCCTCTTTTCTTCTTCTTTTAAATAGTATATAAATACAGTGTCCACCTTTCAGCTATAGTTCCAAACAGGGATAGCTTCATTAATGCTATATATGTCCCGGTAAGAAACAAAAATACAATTAAAATACACCTACATGTATATAATATTTCCTTCATTTTCTTACAAGTCTAAAATGACAAATACTTTGGTATAGCAAATTTGTATATTTTTTTTTTCTTTTGTCAAAGAGAAAAAAAAATCTTGTTATAAATGATGAAACTTTTTGATGTAGAAATTCGTGTTTCCAGCTCATATGAAATTTACATTACTTTGTAAGAAAATTATTTTTGTTCTTGTAATTTTTATAGTCGTTTACCAAGAGCAAAGCGTTTATTGTCACGCAGTATCCGACAGTTGAGGATTCTGTAGACTTCCTGTGCCTGTTATATGATCAGGAATCTGACATTGTAATATTTATGGATCCACAGACAACAACTGAACCGGTAAGCAAAAGTCTAGGCATCTGTATCTGAAAGCATGGAAATTTGAATTAAAACGTTTCCTTCTCCAAAAATTCTGCAAAAATTTTTGCAGCTTTTTCTGCGCTTCACTTATAGAAATCCCAATCGGCAACACTATTTCATGGAATGAGGAATAACTCTAGTTTGTTTATTGCATGCTAGATAATGCAAAGGCCCTCATTAGTGTCTCTATCTAACATAGCATTTAAATTGATATAAAATCTAAAGTTTAAGCAGTATATCATTCTAGTTGTTTTTTAATTGACCTAATTTTGTAACTTATATTAAACTAATATTTAAATGAATAACGCCCAGTTTAAAAGTTTTTTGTTTTTTTTTCTGAAGTTTCAGTCCAAGTTTCAAAAATAAAGAAATTTCAAAGTGTGTTCATCACATACCTGTAAAACATGATCTTGCTTTCCCTTTGAAAATGTTTTCATTCTTCTTTTTTGTCTAGATGGTGACGTTGTTTCCAACCACATCTTCCTCTAAAACAGTTCCTCCTTTTACTGTTCATTTGCAATCCAAAACTGAAACTGACGTAAAGACCAGCATATTTCAGATCCGACAGAATAATGTAATTACAATAAATGCAATTGTATAGTCTGTTACACCTTATCTCTCTCTCTCTCTCTCTCTCTCTCTCTCTCTCTCTCTCTCTCTTTATTACATATTTGATGAGTCCTTCAAGCAAGAAATAAATGTTAAAAAGTGCTCAATGCATTATGTTTTGGTACCTTTAGAGCAAGAAGGAGGCCCATACAGTGACAATTGTAGAGCCAAAATCCAGGATCAGTGCATCCGGAACTTCTCCAGATACTTCTCAACTTCGAAGCCTGGTCTCCGTTGGATTAGGAGTAGAGACGGAAAATCCTATCATTGTTGTCAGCAGGTATTAGAATTATTTTCCTTTCTCGTTATCGTGAAATAACAAATATTTTAAAACCATCCACATCAAAGGATTTTGAATTAATTCAGTCCGTGGTTTTCAATCAAAATTCATGTATATACATGTATATCTTTGAACAGTATTCTCAGCAGGATAGATTTTTTTGTGTATAAATTCAGGAATTTAGTCTCATTTGGAATTCAACATATTTTAAAACAAGTTAAAATTATTATTTTAAATGTCCTTTGATACTTTGCTGGTAGCGATGGAGCTTCCCTTTGTGGTGCCTTTTGTGCAGTTCATAACGTGATACAACAAATCAACATGGATGCAAATGTAGATGTTTTTACTTCCGTCAGACAACTGCAAGTTCGAAGGCCAGAGTTTTGTTTTAGGCTTGTAAGTCATAATTAAATCAGTATAGTTCATTATCGTGCGTAGCAGTGAACACTAAAAAATTTCATATAATGTTAGAGTTATTAGAGATGCCTAATTCATAGAGAGTTTTCAAATCGTGAGTGTTGATCTGGTTCTACAGATATATTATAGATTTGTTCTTAACCATACTATGTGAATACATTAGGTTAAACATAAATGTTTTATATGGAAATTTTGTTCTAAATCAGATTGTCAACAATGTTATTCTTACAAGCACCATAATTAATTCGAAATAATCAGACTGAATTACGTACAGCAAAATTGCCTTATTTTCATTGGGAAAGGTTTTTGTTCGACGAGAAATTATATTGTGGTTAAAAGAGAAAAATTTGCTTCTTTATAGAATTGTAACATTTCTTTTGGGATATGAACCTGTAGGTTTCTTCATACCATGGAAAAAAAATAGAAATTCAACAGCAATAAAACTTGAGATTTCAAAATCAAGGAAGTCCTGTAGACTGGCACAAATATTATTTCCTTGATCCATGCATTCATCAATTCTTTACAAATTCATCCAAAAAAAAAAGAATCAAAAATGCCCCTTAAAAGAAAATTATCCATACATAATTATTGCACATGCAGTTATTGCTAATTCGATTCTGGTGAAAAAAAGAGGGAGTAATGAAGTGTCTCTATTGGATTGAAAGACTTAAACAAATACAAAAAACAGAATTAAAATTTTAAATATAGCATATTTTATTTATAGAATTGTTTGTTAAGTGCATACAAGTCTTTGTTTTCAGGATGAGTATGGACTGGTCAACAAAGCAGTGAATGATCACATAGAAAGAAGCACTGAAAACATATACTCTAATCAGTGAAGGAGAAATTTTTCAGCAGGATATAAAGAAATGATGCAGTGATATACTTGTCACCGAAAAAAAAAAACTTGTACATGAAAATCGGATTCATAGAATATATTAACATTGGAATACTTACATTTAAAGACCATTTCATTGATGTTTGCTTTCCTGAACAACTGAAAGCCACGGAATGTAAAATTATCATATTTTCTTTTTATAATTATTATTAATTTATAAATATTATCATTATTTTAATACTTGCGTTTTGAGAAATGTTAGTATGTACTTTATGCTTGGGAATATAATCGCTGATTCCTACGCATTAACCAATGACCATTTCATTAAATTTAAAAAAAAAAAACCTATTTAGGTAGTCTGATCCTCGGGTTCAGAAAATCAGCTTTTAAGTAATTGAAAATGCTCACAAAAATGTCTCTGATTTCTCAGAGTAACATAAATTTACCCATGGTATTTCTTCATCATTAAAGTTAATCATATTATATAGGGAAAATTATCAAATCTCAAATATATTTTCAGGAAATGCAATAAAAATATCAGCTATTCATTTTCTAATTGAAAATTGATCAACAAATATATTTTTGGATAAAAAAAATATAGGTATCCAGGCATTTGGAGAAAATTGCATCTTTTTTATGCTTATACAATATTTTAGTGTTCTATTTACTTCAGTTGTTATATAATACATAGTGTTAGATGCTTGTGTTATCATTGCTAGACATCACAGAACAAGTCTAATTTCATATCATGCTAATAAGCATTGGTATCTAATGCTAGATTAAAGGAAATTCGATTTCTCTAAAAATTAGTAATTTTTTTTTTCTTTTATGGGGTACAAATGTCAAATTTTTAAAAGACCATTTCTAAGACTTCAGAGAACCTTGGATAATACTGAGATGCATAAAATGAAAATTATTGCACAAAAAGATCTCAATTTTATGTTTCATTTTGAGGCTTTTTAAATAAAATAATAAATTTTAAAGTTATCCTTCCTGGCTGAGGATCGGATATCCTGAAAGATTTTGACTATTATGAAGTTTCAATATGTCTTCCTTTTTAATTTCAACACAAAAAAAGTTATATTACTTCCAAAACCTTAGTTCTACCATATTGTGCAGACTTGTATTTATTTTCAAATATAAGCACAATTGATGAATGAGTTAACTAAATTGATGATATTCTTTTTATCTTATTATTTATGTCGACTAAAGTGTGTTAATCTGAAAGCAGTTTTTTTAATTCTATATAGTACTTTTTTAATTTTTTTTTTTTGTTTTGTTGTTGTTGTTGTTGTTGCACTTTTTTGTTGTCGATGCATTCGAAGTCTTACAATTGAACCAAAAATCAAAATGTATTCATTTTTATTGTAACAAATTGCTGCAAAACCTAAAAAGATATAATTTATAACTTTAATGATTTCTTACGCATCTGGGTCAGAGTCGTTGATATCTTGTATGACAATCTTTAGACAAGCCAAGGGTCTCTTGCATCCCGCTAATTACTTTTAAACGGTATCATTTACTTTAAATCACCACAGCAGAAAAACATCAGAAAAGTATATTAAAGATGTGATTATTTGAATTCTTTGAACACAGAGAAAATAAAGCAGGTGTGTGGGTAGAACGAACAACTCTCGCATTGCGTTCAGATGATTTTTTTTTTTAATTTTAGCTTCAGTAATTGGGAATAACTTCTATATTCTTTGGCATTATGCATCAGTATGCTATAGGAAATGAAAACAAACTAAAAAATTAAATTGATCAAACCCCTAAAACTGCGAAGTACTTTTAATTTTTGTAGCATTCTGTAGCATTCCATAAAAATATGTGTATATATATTAAGAAAATTATACAAAAAATGTATTTTTTGTTTAACTTTTTGTCAATAGACTATGAAAAGTATTTCAAATATTTCTCAGAGTGGAATAAACTGAAACATTGATGTTTTTTTTTTTCGGGGGGGGGGGGGGGTCAGCATTTTAACTACTTTATAAAAAAAAAGAAAAAACAGTGAGCACTGAAATTTGAAAATACAGTGTGTGTTCAGAAATCTTGAAATCAAAATATTATTTTCAGACAATAAAAAAAATCTGTCATCCTAAAGTTTAAATATCATTGATATTGCTTCCAAATTTTGCAGAAAAATACAGTCAACTATTAGATACACATACACAATTGCTTATGAATTCAGATTTATCATTTTGTTTTTAATTGAGAAAAAAAAAAAAGAAACATCTTATATACGATTTAAGAATAAAATAGGTTTTTTGTCTGCTACCTATGGAAGTGTATTGCTGCCAATTGAAAATATTTTTCTTCTAAGTCGTGCAAACTAGATAATATTATGTACGTACGAGATACTAGGTCGTACATACGAGATATTATGTCGTACGTACGAGATAATATCGCGTACATACGAGATATTAAGTCGTACTTACGAGATATTCAGTCGTACTTACGAGATACTAAGTCGTACGTATGAGATAATAATCGTAGGTTCTAGATATTATATCATACGTACGAGATACTAAGCCATACGTACGAGATACTAAGTCGTACGTACGAGATAATAAGTCGGACGTACGAGATAATATGTCGTACGTACGAGATAATAAGTCGTACGTACGAGATAATAAGTCGTACGTACGAGATAATATGTCGGTCATACGAGATAATATGTCGTATGTACGAGATAATAAGTCGTACGTATGAGATAAAATGTCTTACGTACGACTTACTAAGTCTTACATACGGGATACTTAGTCTACGTACAAGATAATAAAAAGTCGTACGTACGGGATACTAAGTCGTACGTACGAGATGCTATGTCGTACGTACGAGTTACTCAGTCGTACGTACGAGATCTGTCGTACGTACGAGATAATATGTAGTTATCAAGATTTGTTTACAATTTTATGAAGCATCAAGTATGGACGGCATAAAAACAGTTGTCCTGCTTGTGAAGTTTATTCTTGTGTTAGGATTTTACCACAAGGACATGATTTTCCGGAAAAATCCCATGTGAAAATCAATGTATCATTGTCAAATTATTTTCTACAATAAATATCTCTAAATATTAAAGATTTGAATATAGAACCCAAATTTCGTATAAGTAATTTTATGATTAACCTTCAAAGTTTATTAAAAGAGGATATTCGTGATATAAAAGTCTCTTTTGCATCAATGTTTACTTAGAAGTCCGATCCAAAGCGCGCATCCCACCAATAAAAACCAAAATGCGTGAATGACATGTAGTTGCTCTTATACAACTAAACGAGGAAAAGTTTCCTAACAAATCAACCAATCAACCAAAATGAAATCGCAGAACTAATTGGTGATATGAGGGACAGAATATCGTCAAGATTCTTTTTTCTAAAGGAGAGCAACATAGTCTAAAAATGACCACGACCCCCCAGCCCTCTTAAGAGGAGTTGCGCTTACAATCTGTTCATCTCTACATTCAATATATGTCTAAAATGTTTAAGTTCAAAAGGGCCGAAATTTCGAGAAAAAGAAAGAAATTAGAATTTCTTGGTCATATGTACATCTATACATTGTCTCCTAATTACCAACAAAGTTTCATGAAATTCTTTGCAGCGGTTTAAGAAGAGTTGTGCTTATGAAAAAATAGAAATAATAATAAATAAATACAGAGGACTGACGTACTAACTGACGGGTCAAAACATTATACCCCTCGCAACTTGTTGTTATAAAAGTAATTTATAATTTATAATTTCTCTCTACATTTTAACACTGTTTGTAGACAATATCCTAAATAACTCTTAACTCTTAATAATGCTATTTTAAGCCCGAAATTTATAAGGCTTTATAAAAAAAATAGGCAAAATCACATGTCAATATACTTTATTGCATAAAATTGTTATTCCTCCTTTTCTATAATTTGTGAATTGTAACAAACTAACACTTTTACAGAAAAATATAAAATAAACTATATGAAATCCCAAGCTCGAATCCTGCAGAGGAATCTGTCTGTATTTAATGAATACGATTTTTCAAAAATCGTACTTTTATTTAAAAAGTTGTTTATTTTTGCTTATTTGACGTGTGTACTTTTTATGCATCATGCTATCATTCAACAAATCTTGATAACCACATAATATCTCGTACGTACGACTTAGTATAATTTTCTTTCAATTGGTAGCAATACGCTTCCGTAGCTCCCGACTAGCATTTAGGAATGTTAGTAAACAAGTTCCGTTCTGTTGCCTTCCTGTTTTACTTCCTGGTCGAGAAAGCATGAAGTTGTTTTACTTTATGATATGGTATATGATCAATGTAATAATAAGGACGCACGGATATGATAAGTCATGCGTATATATATGGAATCAAAAATTCCCATCTTTATAACAACGAAGATAAATGTGTAGATAGTGTATTTCGATTCAGCAGCGCAGATTTTTTTTCTCCGCTACATAATGCGACTTGCTTAAATCATATTATAAATGCATAAAACATACCTCATAGTTAGAATAAGATATGCCAGATTGAATTAGCATAGCACAGTGCGTAGTTGTTACATGAGGAAATATTTCGTCAAATCAGAAAAAAAAAAGTTACAAAAGCTAAATATCACTGCTATGTTGACAGTGAAATTGTCGATTGGGAAGTTTATTGATAAATACTCTTTAAACTATTCTTTATTAGAGGTTATTTCTTGTGCAATGCATACGCCTACCTAACTTTTGACAATATTGTACATTCTTTTTTTCTGTTTATTTATTTTCTGTTAATAAAAAAAAAAAAGATCTAGACGCCTACACTTCTTTTCATTTCTTTGAACAAAGAATACGCTTGTAAGATACTAATGTGCATTTTTTTTCAAAGTTCATTTTTTTTTGGGGGGGGGGGGTGTAAAGTCAATTAAAGAACGGCGCTACTAGGGTAGCATCCTCTCGCAAAATGAAATATTTTGTAGAATATAAACCTGTATTATTTGGTAATGCAAAAATGAAATTGAAGGTTGACTTCAGAATGATTACGTATACATGTAAGAATGAACAAATGATGTTTGAACCGCCAGACTTTGATAAATATTTTAAATTATGGCAGATATTCATATGCATGATTGATTGATTGTATGCTGTTTTACGTCCCATTCGAGAATTTTTCACTCATATAGAGACGTCACCATATACCGGTGAAGGGCTTCAAATTTTGACCTTTACGCGGCACTCAGGGCCATTGAGCAGTGAGGGATCTTTTTCGTGCCAACGCCTGCCGTGTCACGGGGCCTCGGTTTTTAAGGTCTCATCCGAAGGACCCGCAACTTTCACTTCAAAGTGCCGAGTGCATGGCGAAAGAACAGTTGCTACCCATTTTTTATCTACTTAGGTCTGTCGCGGCCGAGATTCGAACTCACGACCTCCCGATCACGGAACGAGCGCTCTACCGACTGAGCTCCCGTGAACGGTTTCATGTACATGTACATCGTCTCAATCCTCGTTCCTCAGAGATACAATGTTACAAAAAAAAAAAAAAAAAAAAAAAAAAAAAAAAAAAAAAAAAAAACTATGATAGATGCATTTACACGCTCAGAACTGTAAATTTGATTGCTATGTTGGGACTATGATAACCTTAGAAATTGTATCTTTACGCCATCTGTCACAAGGTGGACGCTGCTGGTCGACAGGAAATGCTTACTATACTCCAGGTAACTTGATTCCACATCTATTTTGAGAGATCCGTGTTGGTTCTGCTCACAATTTGTATTACTCATGTACACTTTTGACTGTGTTTCCTGTTTGTTATTTTCCCCCTTTCATTTCGCCTTTTGAAATGAAGAAAAGGAAACACTTATGGCAGTACTCTGGGAAGATGAAACGAGATTAATATGATTTAATAGCTAGATAGTGTGGAATTGAACACAATTATCACCATATTTTAAGGTAAAAATAATATATTTCAGAAAACCTGGCCTTTAGAAAAACAACATGGCAGAGCACTTCACACGATGCCACAATTTCCGGTCCCGAGAGAGCTGTAGACGGTCTAAAAAAAGACAGATCATATCTTGGTAGACAGTGCAGTGTGTCAAGTGTTCATCAAATAACAGCTTCGTGGTGGGTTAACCTGGGCGGAATTCTTAGCATAAACAACATACTGATCTACTACAGAACTGATAATATGCCCTGGAGTAAGTTGTGTCTATTTTTTTTCTTCCTGTAAAATTTGTTGATCTTGTTTTCTTTCTTTTTTTCAGTTTTGTTTTTTTTGTTTTTGTTTTTTTTTTGATTTGATTTTTTTTTTTTAATTTCTTATAAATTTTGCAATTTTATTTTAATGTTAGATAACTTTAAGATTATCCAGTATATTTTCAATCTCCTTTTTCATTAATTCATAATGTTCCTTTTTAGGGTTTTCCGCCTTCAAAGGATAAGAAAACTTCAATTGAATTGTTCTTTTCTTTATTAACTCTTTTCTTGTTATTCCATTTTTGAATCTTTCAGTAATTGCATACATGATTTGTTAAGGACAAATAAGTGGTTTTTCACTGTATTTCATGGAACATGCGTTATCCAGAAAAGATCTGTTTTCTTAAAAATCTGGAGTTTTGTACCCGTTCAAAAATATTTGAAAGAGCAAGGTTCACTTTGTGTTTAAAATGGCCCTGTAGACATACCAATCTGTTAACAAACACCCTATGTTTCATAATAAACATCTGAATAAAGTAGAGTGCTTTTATTCCCTATTAAAAGTTTCCTAAGAAAGTCTAGGTATTGGAAAACAGGCTCTGTGAAATTGCAATGTTCTTGAATTTTAAAGAAAACAGGTTTATTTGAGTACATTCAGCGAAGTATAAAAATATGAGCGCACTCCACGAAAAATAAGACATTTCTTGTAATCTTCTTACGGACGTCAAATAGTAATGAATTCCACAAAAAGATATTTCTTAAAGATTCCAATAATTTGATGGTAATGTTTTTGTGTTTTAATTAATTTCTCCTAAAATTATTGCTGTGTTGATATCACTGATGGTGATGAACGGAGCACGACAAAAAATTTGAAAACAAGCGTGCCGACTCCCAAATTTTACTCATTTATTTTTTTTTCCTTTAATTCATGATATCATTCGACAATTTTCTCAAAGGTATCTTTTTATTGTTCTATAATTATGTATTTAGATTTTTGACGTAAAATTTGAAGTATTAATAGAAATAAAGTGATTTTTCTCCGATGCGATTCCTATGAAAACAACTGCAAAAATGACGTCTCGTTAATTGACGGAGCAGCGCACTTTTATCAAATTATGTGTAATGCCCGAGAAAACGCCAACATATACCCAAAATACATGTATGCTTGATGAAACATGAAGTAAACAAGGGTTTTCCCGACATATTATGCTGAGTGGATATTAAAGGTAACCCAAACTCTATAGTATCAAATTCTGAGGGAAAATGTTGAAAGCTCATATTTTTTTATAATGCCCGTGACGTCGAAGATTTTACTGCACCGTGACTTTATATGTCCTGTTAAATAACCCAAACTTGGTATAAATTTACATTTTGATATGGAATTTCGATAACCATACAAGTAAAGATTCCTTTATATTATGTGTGACATTTTGCCTGATTATGTCGTCATTTTTTTTTTCTTTGCAACAAGTCCGCGTAATTTTTGAACGGCCCTCGTACTTAAAATGGGTAAAAATAGAAAACTGAGATTCTCAGGTATATAGAGAATATGTTGCGGTAGTTCAGCTTGGTTTTCAAATGTTTCGGTAGAGGGCGAAAATTAGGACAAGGGTTATAAATGACATTTTACACAAATACACAAATACGCGATTGAATTCTTTTGTTGTTACCTTGCATTCAACAGTGAATATCACTCTATCCGATTCTCCTTCATTTTCCACAATCTTTTCCCTCTTACAACATGTCAGAGTTTTTTCCCCCCTCAATTCTCGTCACATATTCGCATTCTTTGTGAAATACAGCATATAGGAGAATGGCTACCCTGATTGAAGCTAGCTGATTCCAGCTAGCTGAAGAGTACGTCTCTGTTTCATTTTACAACTCTTAAAAGCTTCCTAGTTAAACGGTCGTCCATTTTTCGTTTTCTGTAACTTTACACTTCTTGGGTCTTTCCCACCGAACCTACGGCTATATACCCTTGTACAACTGAAAAGACACTGTTTCGAGGAATATCCAACTAATGGTCAATGGCTGCATAATTTTGTCCTGACAGATAATCATTTGTTTCACGGAGGAAGATAAATATTGGCATATCCCCATGTGTACATTTAATAGACATTTTCGTTTTCAGCTAAAGTCATATTTTACAAATGACCTCATTGATCGACAGTGGAAAATGATATATATATAATTTATTGAAGACAGTTGTATATTATGAATCAGCATTTACCTGAAAAGTTCACACAGTACTGTAGTTGCTGTGTTCATACTTCCCCACACAGACTAATGTGTTTGTCTTTATGTCTTTCAAATGATTCGAAATTTTTCACCAGATGAGAACAATATATACACAACACGATTCTTGGGATTTTCTGTCTATATATCCAACACAACAGACAGAAATGGTGGAATATCATGTTTCAATGACACAAATTATACTAAATTCACCATACCAGACCATGTAAACATCAGTTGTCCTACATATGGTCAGTACGTCATCTATTATAATGAAAGACTGCAAGGAGTATCTTACCCTGATGATTATTATCCTTATGCATTTGTTGAACTTTGTGAAGTAGAAGTTTATGGTAAGTAAAATTAAACTCTATTGTATGAAAGATTTTAATCCAGATATGAATAAGGTTAACGTTTGACGAAAATCAACAGTTGCAAGTTATAAGTATTCATGTATTTGATTAAGGATGCCCAATACCTGGATATTATGGATCTGATTGTTCTCTACCTTGTCCTGACTCAAACTGTCGATATTGTCACATACAATCTGGTGTCTGTGTGGGATGTGAGTTCGGGTACCAGGGACATCAATGTGAACAACGTAAGACTTTTATTATTATTACAATTATTATTGACTCACCTGAGCCGAAGACTCAAGTGAGCTTTTCTGATAAAAATTTGTCCGTTGTCTGTCGTCGTTGGCATTGTCGTTGTTAACTATTCACAATTCCATCTTCTTCTCCAGAACCACCAGGCCAATTTTGACCAAAATTTGCACAGAACATCCTTGGGTGAAGGAGAGTTTAAATTGTGAAAATGAAGGGCCAACCCCCTTACAAGGGGAGATAATGTTGTCTGTCGTTGTTGTTTGTCGTCGTTGTAAACTTTTTCACAATTTCATCTTCCTTTCCAGAACCACTGAGCCAATTTCAACCAAACTTGGTACAAAGCATCCTTGGGTAAAGTTGACTCAAATTTGTTCAAATGAGGGGCCACAACCTCTTTTAAGGGGAGATAATTAAAAAAAATAGTGAAATTTTGGTGGGCTTTTTAAAAATCTTCTCCTCAAGAACGACTGGGCCAGAAAAGATGAAACTTATATGGAAATATCTTCAGGTAGTGTAGATTCAAGTTTGTTCAAATCATGACCCCTGGGGGTAGGGCGGGGCCACAATGGATGATCAAAATTTTACATAGGAATACATAGGAAAAATCTTTAAAAATCTTCTTCTCCAGAACCACTGGACCAGGAAAGATGAAACTTATATGGAAACATCCTCAGGTAGTGTAGATTCAAGTTTGTTCAAATCATCGCCCCTTGGGATGGGGGCGGGGCCACAATGGGCGATCAAAGTTTTACATAGGAATACATAGGAAAAAACCTTAAAATCTTCTTCTCATGAATAGCAGAGCCATGATTAAACATATTTATATGGAAGCATCCTCGGGTAGTGTAGATTCAAGTTTGTTCAAATCATGACCCCAGGGTTGGGCCGGGGCCACAATGGACGATCAAAATTTAACATAGGAATACATAGGAAAATCCTTTAAAAATCTTCTTTTCATGAATAGCAGAGCCATTATTAAACATACAGTACCCGCATCGTTATTCTTTACAATTCTATCGTGTCCTATCGTGCGTTTATCCTATCGTATCGTGCGTGTATCCTGTCGTATCGTGCGTGTATCCTATCGTATCCTATCGTATCGTGTTTTTCGTTTATCAGGATTTGCGTTTTCTATCGTGTTTTCCGTTTATCGTGTTTTGCGTTTATCGTGAAGATCGTTTATCAGGTTCTATCGTGTATCGTGTTTTGCGTTTATCGTGTGCATTCGGAAACCCTCGCTTTTTATCTTTACCTTGAGAAGAAACACCCGAAATATCCCGAGTTCATTTTTCGTTTTGTTATTTTATTTACGATTCATTTAATTGTTGAACAGAGAGAGAGAGAAATTAATGACATCTGATTCTCTGGTATATAGATTTAAGAAAATAAATAAATAAATTACTTAATAAATAAATAAATACATAAATAAATAATAAAAAGAACGTAAAGTACCGGCCGTGACCAAGCAGAGAGCGTATATCGAAAGTTAAATCCTATTTAGCACATGAAATAATCGGTCTACTAGTCATTGTTTTTTTGTTGTTGTTGTTGTTTTTTTTAATTGAAATTGTCGATTTGTAAGAAATATTTTTTATCAAAAATAGAAATATTATATTTTTTTTAAACAGTCCGAGTCACAAAAAGGTAGACCTTTATCAACTTTTTTGATAATTATAGAAACATAAAACAGTAGGTATGTGTGCAAAAATAAATAAATTGAAAAAGTATCAGCATCTATATAAGGCTTATTTTTTTTTATCAATAATGGAATTAATCAATAACAAGTTATTCATTTTTCAGAAACACTAGTAGAGGCACTTTTTTTTTGTCCCAACACTCCATTGATTTAATTCATTTTTATACTTTTATACTTCTTATTGGTTTACAGTCTTAAACATGATTGATCTGATCAAATTTAAAATAAAATATTAATCGAAGAATATGGTAAATAACTCTAATAGAAAAATACGAACTTTGCCTCGCATGATTTTTTTTCGCAATTTAAGGCTCCTCAAAAGATATATGTAAAAGTTTATATGAAATCGCCCGGTTTTTTGCTTCAATACACAAGACGTGTAAATGCCTTGAATTTAATTTTATTAGTGTTTATCGATTACATTTAATACTTGACTATATTCAAGAAGTCAATATATATTTTCTTTTCTTTTTTTTGAACCGGACCTTTTTTTTTTTATTTGAGTGGTTACATTCTGTTATTATGAATATTTATAACCAGCTTTTCCGCGCAAAGAATCCTGCTTTTCCGCGACAAATTATACTGCTTTTCCGCGATTATAGTTTTTTGCTTTTCTGCGATTTATTTTAGCACTTATCCCTTCCGTTAGCCGGGTAAAAATTCTTTCTCCCTGCTATCAACCGGCTTCAGGCAATCTTTTTTTGTCTTTACTGAGATTGTTGTCAGTATTCTTTTTGTTTCTATCTCGGCAATCTTTTGCATCGGTTGTAATTGTGGCTTTGCATATTTTATCTTTATCGGTAAGACACATCGCCATTATTTAAAACATTGACCTTTCTATACGTAAATACATCGTTTGTAATATATTTGTTACCAGGATTAGGTTCGTTATGAACAATTTCAATGGCATCTAAAACATCACCGACCAGTGTAATATGTGATTCATTTAATTTTTATCACAGTGTGGTACTATCGAGTAGAACTTAATATAGGGAGATACATGATAATCCGGGTAAATATCGGCAACAGTTTAATGTAAAGTGCATGTACTTACCGTGACAATTTAAAAATCGTGGAAAGAAAGTATCAACAAAAGGAGAAAACACTTATAGTAAAATTCAGGAGAAGTTGCAAAAATAAAATCGCGGAAAAGCAGGTGGGCGAGGCCTGTGTAGAAAGAATTTTCATTTCTTTAGGGGCGGGGGGGGGGGTCTAAAAAGAAATGTTTTGACAAGCAAACAAAAGAGGCTAAAGACATTATTGTTGATGGGCGATATTATATAAGCATTATATTTTTACTCTATACATGTTGGTACACTGTAACATTTTTAGGTACACGACTGCGTTCTCCCTTCTTGGTTCTATACAGGCCTATGACATTGGAAATTCCAGAGAATAAATACAAAAGAATGGAAATGCGATATTCTTTTCGGATACTAGATGATCTAGTGACGTTTATTAATTTTGTTAAATTCGATTTTTTCGGCCGTTATCCTTCTTCATATATACATATACAATGTATGTACTTGGAATATGTAAATGATTAATTTTCTATGTTTACCGGATATATATATTTGTGACATATATATGTATATTTGTATAGGAGAGATTTTATAATCACAGTCTAGTGCACAGCCTGTGTCAACGCAACGAGCATATTTCAGCAAGTAACGTGTTTAAAACGTAAAAAAATAATATAAATTAAAGCAAATTCATAAAAAAAACTTTGAGGAGACAGCGGTAATTTTAAAAAATATTTTTTTTTTTTTTTTTTTTTTTTGATTATTTTTCCCCTAAACTGACAAGTAAATTATTTTCGTAAGATTTGAATTATTAAATACCGATTATTAAAATTAATGCGATTTTGGATACATCACAGACTTCTAGCAGAAGATATTGAATCCAAACATTTCATTTATTACAAAGAGTTCTTCCGGATATATACTCATTATTTGATAATAAATTTATAAGGTTTTATTTGTTAAAATACTGAATATATTTATAACGTTTCATGAATTATTGCACCTGGGTGTAAAACTTCGTTGTCCAGGGAGTTTTTGAGCCACCATAATTAAAATCTCTGTTAATAAACGACTAAAATTCAAGTTTAACGATTCGAGGGAATTTCGACATTTGAATAATTATACAAACAATCGCATAATTTCCACCATAGAGTGCAATTTATCTAAAATAATTACAGTTTGAAGTTGGTGACGGTTCATTATTGACAAAAAATAAACATGTTTCTTGTACAAAGCATAGTTACCTCAAATATTTAATCATAATACATTTAATATATTTAAGCAATCCATTTAGATTTGCGGCTTTGTAAGTAATTAAAGTCATCATACTATAGTGTTTCTAAAAAGGAAGCAATTCGTCTTGTCAAAATACATTTCGCATTTTGAAACAATCCTATCAGGTTTTGCGTTTATCCTATCGTGAAGATCGTTTATCAGGTCTATCGTGTTTTGCGTTTATCGTATTTTGCGTTTATCGTGTTTTGCGTTTATCCTATCGTGCGTGTATCCGGTCCTATCGTGCGTGTATCCTATCGTATCGTGCGTTTATCCTATCGTATCGTGCGTGTATCCTATCGTATCGTGTATCCTGTAAAGAATAACGATGCGGGTACTGTATATATATGTATATGGAAGTATCTTCAGTTTGTGTAGATTCAAGTTTGTTCAAATCATCCCCCTTCCCTAAAGGGTAGGTTAAAACAACTTAGAAATACTGAACTCCTAGCCAGTTGCTCAGGTGAGCGATGTGGCTCTTCGGCCTCCTGTTATTGTTGTAATTTAATGGCATTTGGATCCATTTTGTTGAGCGCAATCAATTACCAGGGTTGTCCTAGAAAAGAAACGAACATTTTCAATATTTTTTTTTAAATTATATTATTAACACCTAGTTAAAAATTAACTTGCATCATAATCAAAATTGTTTGAATAATGCATAGAAAATTCAATAAAACATTCTGTAAATAACTCTCAGTTATAAAAATCATTTTAAAAAAAAAGGTCTCTGTGGAACACTGGTGACGTCAAAATGTTCCTTGTGGCGTTTGTGATATTGTTCAGGAATCTTGCGTCTTTACAATTTCCTTTGAAGCATAAATTCGATATTTCGTTTGATTTTCTTTTAGTTACCGAGAAATCCATGAATTGTGAAGATCTCAGTCATACTAAAGATGACAACAGATTTCAAAATTTTGCTTTAATTAGAGACTATCATGGTAGCTCCAGTTCTTTGAGAGCTCTCTAGTGAGGTTGTCGGTTCAAACCTCTGCCGAGACATACGTAAGTTGATAAAATATAGGAAGAAACGGTTCCTTCTCCAAGCACTTGGCCTTTTGAAGTGAAAGTTGCGAGTCTATTGGATATGACCTTGAAAACCGAGGCCCCATGTCACGGTGGGTGTTGGCACGATAAAGATTTCTACTCCTCAATAGCTCTGAGTGCAAAGTAAATGTCTAATTTGAAGTCCTTCATCGATATATGGTGACGTCTCTATATGAGTGAAAATTTCTCGAAGGCACGTAAAAAACTAAAATCAATCTTTTAGTAGACTATTTCTCATACCAATCATAATTTACGTCCAACTTCTTAGGTCTCAGTTTATCGACATTCATTGTTGATTTATAAAACTACTCCTCAATCCGGTAAAGATCGGTCACAGTGGCGTAGTGGTAGAGTGTTCGCTTAGTGTTCGGTATGCCGATTCTTGTTCTCCGCTTAGACGCAAAATACAGGTTGTGATTATTACTTTGGTTAGGTATTTTTTGAAGTCCTTAAGACAATCTCGTTTTTACTGGGACATCCATTGTATATTATGTTTTTTATTCATATTTTATTTTTATTAAAAAAAAATCAGAATGTAATCAAAGTTTTTATGGCGAGCTGTGTAGCGAAAAGTGTGGAAACTTTACTGATATTCGAACCTGTAACCATGTCAACGGAACGTGTACCAACGGATGTGACGTCGGAGTGTATGGAGACAAATGCAAAATAGGTATTTATTAATTACTAGATACATGTAATTAGTAATAAATACAAGTTGTTTGCATATACCGTATGCCAGACGTCAAAACAGCTGTATCAGCTTCAAGAGATGTTACGGATCCTGCAAGGCTTATATGATCTGCAGGGTTGATACGGATATATATATGACACCCCTTTTAGACTGAACGTTTAAAAACATCACTTGTGATGAAACACATTTTTTTTCGTTCACATTATTTGTAAAAAATGCATTTAATTTTAAATTACTGTTATTTGATATAGTAAACCAGTCGGTATTATTTGTATTTGCTCAAGTAGATGTGCACTGTATTTAATACTGAGTATGTAATAAACATAGTAAACCATACCCTTTACAATATCAAACCTTGTATCAGCCCTCTGACCCTCGGCCGTCCGGCTTATATGGGTGTCTCGGACTGTTACAGGGTGTGATATAGAAAGGGTATTATTATTCTGTATGTATTGTTGATCCTCGGTGAGGTCAATTGGGTGCATTCCATCTGTGTACCTAGGCGAAACCTAAAGGATTAAAATTTCGAATTCTTTATCTTTTTTATATATTGTTGTCATTCGTAAACTCAAAACAATGACTATATTGCATGCATTGTAAAATGAAAAGCAAATGTAAGGGTTTGTGTAACCTCTGAACTAAGAGAAACCTTTATCAGCAGAATAATACAGTAAACTGAGAAAAAACAATTAAAAATAAAGATGGATTATGTAGAGTGTCTCGAGACCCTCTGATAGCACACAATTTTAAATTGATTTAATATACATGTACATGTATTTATGTATCGATATTACAAATGATACTTTTTTAAAAAAAAATTTCCTTTAATTAAAGTCTGTCCTAGTGGTTTGTATGGAAAGAACTGTTTGGAAAAGTGCTATAATTGTGAAACGTGTGACAGATTCACAGGACGGTGCACATCTCCTTGTAAGACGGGTTGGAAAGGGTTTTTCTGCATGGAAGGTATTTGTGACACTTCTGAAAATTCTTAAAACTCAAAACCATTTGTTTTTCTTTAACAATCTAGGAATACAATTTGTAAAGTTGATACAATATATATTGCATGAAAGCAAATGTATGGTATGAAAAAACAAAGAATGGACATACATATGACACTTATTCTCCCAAAAAAATACAAATAAATAAATGATTTCTCGTCATTTTCATTATCAATATAACGATTAGAAAGTCAGACTCCGAATCGAATGCTTTTGATTTTTTAGATGTAATGTAGTAAATAATTTTTAACATCACTTTGATATACAGTTATTTAATGGCATCAATATATTCAAAATATATTTTTGGGAAAAACCCTTAGAGTTCTATGGTCCCAAACGATTCATTACCTGATGCTTTGGTTTGCCGTTATATAACATTTTGTTTTATATCAATTATATATAACCTTTTTATTACTTTTTCAAGTTTTCATTGAATTGCAATCTGTTGCGTATATGCGTTCGATCTATTGACTGGTCCAATTATCCAATTCAAAGTCAACTCAAAGAAATTCTTAAACAGTTTCCCATCGCCGCATCTACAAAAATTCCACAGTCTGATGAAAATCACTTGAGGAAATCAAAAGCAGTAACTCTTTATACCATCTCACTAAATTTTGAAAGCAGCTGATTGTGTTTGTAAATAAAAAAAAGTAAATCAAGCAAGTTAAAAAGTTCCCACCGCCTCTAGAAAACAACTACCCGACGAGGCACCAAATCACAGTTAATTATTCTTTATGTTCTAATCATTAAGTCAACTGACTAAGTATCGATCGTTCTAGTAGACACTGTATGATCATATAAGTCTTGCTGACATATATTTCAGTTACAATTACACGAAAAATGCAATATCGTTCAATTATATAGCAACATGTGTAATATACAGTATGACAAATTTGATATCATAGCATGACCATAGTTTACCATTGCATTAAGTTTAATCATTTTTTTTTTAATTTTACTTTATAAGATTGTGACGGAAGAAGATATGGGGAGGATTGTGGAGAGAGTTGTGGAGCCTGTCTGGGGTATAAACAATGTCATCACATCAATGGGTCATGTCTTGAAGGTTGTGACTCCGGATACAAAGGAGATCTCTGCAAAACAGGTAACAGCTAACGTCTTGTGTTTTGACATCTCATGCAAATCGATTTATGGTAATTATGTCTTTGAGAGAAATACAAATCCAGTTTATTCATTCGCTTTTTTATGACGTACTTCAGCTTGTTCGGATGGAACGTATGGTACAAACTGCGAAGGAAATTGTAACAACAACTGTGGTGTACCATACAGATGTAATGGAACGACTGGACAATGTGAGGGAGGATGTCAGGATGGTTGGGAGGGACCTCACTGCCAATATAGTAATAAAATTAAGTTCTATAGAATTATTCATGCACACAGTTGCAATGTTCTAAAATAATTTTCATAGCGAAATGTACCTAATTAAATATAAAAACAGAAATACGAAAATCTCAATAGTGTAGGTTTTAGCCACATTTCAATAAAAATAAGAAATATTCTATGTAGAAAACATGTACTAAGGAATATTAAGAATATATATTCTTTTAAAGTTTTCTATAGCAAAATATTACCCTTTTTCTCCTTTTCTTAACAAAGTTCTTTTATTCTCTGTTATTCAAGAGTGCACTAACAATATGTATGGCCGAAACTGTAGTCGACGTTGTGGTAACTGTCGAAATGGAGCTCAGTGTCATCATATTAATGGAATATGCCAAAATGGATGCATGCAAGGCTATAAAGACATATATTGTACATCAGGTATAATCATTACAATACATCTCGTCTGAAAAAATAAAATTGTGACGATTTGAATCTTCGTTGCAAAAAGAATAGCAACATCAATATATTCTCAGGATTATATTCGATTCTTTAACAGAATGCCAAGCAGGTTTTTATGGGTTTAATTGTACAGAAGAATGTAGCCTCTTCTGCAAGACACCACGTGGCTGTAACCACATAACTGGACAATGCAAAGAAGGATGCATCGGCGGATGGCAGGGTGATATGTGTTTGCAAGGTCAATATTTTTATAGCTTAAAATAATGTGCAGCCTTGTGTGCAAAATTGGGATGTTGAAACTGTTAAGGGTTTTTTTTTTTTAATTTGAAAGCCCAATTGATATAATTCGTATTTTTTTTCAGTTGCAAAGAGGGTTGATGTTGTGGAATGGCAATCAGAATTCCATGGTTTTCTTGCAGCTTTTGGGTCTCCGTTACATTAAACGTGGTTTTGGTTGCCTACATCTTTATTAATAGGTTGGTTTTCACACATTATTTCGTTTACGACAAAGTTCAAAATAATGCATATAACATTTTTATTCTGTTTCCAGCAAAGAAAAATTTAATGATAAAGCAGTAAACTAAATGTTTACTTTCTTGTTACACCTTTTTTTCTAAAATATACTTACATCATCAACATATTGGAAACCAATCATTTTTGTAAGCTTTCTATTAAAATCTCTAGTTCAAACGTTTCTGTTAATATTCATAATAGTAAAATATTAAAAAGGCTACAAACACGAATTTAGTATCTGAAGTGAGCTTTTCTGATCAAAGAGGCTCCGGCGTCCGTCTGTTGGCAGTAAACTTTCCACATTTTCGACTTCTTCTTAAGACCCACTGGGCCAATTTCAACCAAATTTGCCACAAACCGTACCTAGGTGAAAAGGATTTAAATTTGTTCACAGAAAGCGCCAAGGAAGATAATTAAGGTCAAGATCTAGCAAATGACTTTAGACTGTCTTTTTGTTGCTAGATCCATATGATGTCATAACTTATTTAAGCTTAATTTTTCCCGAACTTTAGGGCTGTAATAGAATATCGCAGCTAGGTAAAGGACTCCCATATATATACGTCAGCCTATGCAGAGGTTCGGGAAAGCTATTAAGACGTCAATAGATCTTGACCTTAAGAAGTCATGAACATTTGGTGACATCTTTGAAAAAATTATTCGCAAGAACCACTAGGCATGATAAAATGTAACTTATGTAAAAGCTTCATTACATACACTAGATTTAAGTTTGTTCATATCATAACTCCCGGGGGTAGGGCGGGGTCACAATAAGGGGTCAAAGTTTACGTAGGAATACATAAAAAATATCCTTAACATCTTCTCAAGAACAGCTTAGCCATTATAATTAGTCATAATAAAATAGAAGTTTCCTAGGTAGTTTATATTCAAGTTTGTTGAAATCATGACCCCTGGGGGTTGGGTGCAGACACAACAAGGGGCCAAAGTTTGACATAGTTATATATAAGAAAAACAAGAGGCCCTGGGCCACATCGGCACTTTGAGCACTTTGGCTAGGAGTTCAGTATTTTATAAGTAGTATTAATCTATCCCTAAGGGGAGGGGTCATGATTTGGAAAAAAAAAAAAAAACTTGAATCAAAACTAAACGAGGATGCTACCATATTTCTTTGACAACGCAGCTAGGCTGAGGACTCCCATGTTTACGCCAGCCTATGCAGAGGATCAGGGAAACTATTATGACGTCAGGTTAAAACTATAGAAATGAATCTTGATGAATAAATACTTTACCTTTTTGTTTATATACACTCAAATACTTTTGTTTCTCATAAATATTGTAAAAATAAATGAATGTGCAACATATCTTGCAATTGTGACATGACCCGGCGAGTTTTCCTTTGAAGTCAGCCGTACAATAACTGCGATACAGAACACTTTTAATGGGCGTTTCCTATGCAAATGAGTAGAAACTGTACTGTATCTGAAAAATATCAACGATACAGTACGGTTTATTTTTAGCGATGACGGAAAACTGAATCCGTATCTTAAATGATATAGACATAAGAATCAATCAAATCGCATGATAGCGCTGTTAGTATTTATTCAAAATTTGAGATGAATTAAGAATAGAATTTTTCAACGTAAAGTTACCAGTGGCGGATTAAAAAAAATTAGTAAGGAGGGAGTGGAGGCAGTACACAAATGGTTTTCT